TGCCGGGCCTCCGGTGCCGGGCCTCCGGTGCCGGGCCTCCGGTGCCGGGCCTCCGGTGCCGGGCCTCCGGTGCCGGGCCTCCGGTGCCGGGCCTCCGGTGCCGGGCCTCCGGTGCCGGGCCTCCGGTGCCGGGCCTCCGGTGCCGGGCCTCCGGTGCCGGGCCTCCGGTGCCGGGCCTCCGGTGCCGGGCCTCCGGTGCCGGGCCTCCGGTGCCGGGCCTCCGGTGCCGGGCCTCCGGTGCCGGGCCTCCGGTGCCGGGCCTCCGGTGCCGGGCCTCCGGTGCCGGGCCTCCGGTGCCGGGCCTCCGGTGCCGGGCCTCCGGTGCCGGGCCTCCGGTGCCGGGCCTCCGGTGCCGGGCCTCCGGTGCCGGGCCTCCGGTGCCGGGCCTCCGGTGCCGGGCCTCCGGTGCCGGGCCTCCGGTGCCGGGCCTCCGGTGCCGGGCCTCCGGTGCCGGGCCTCCGGTGCCGGGCCTCCGGTGCCGGGCCTCCGGTGCCGGGCCTCCGGTGCCGGGCCTCCGGTGCCGGGCCTCCGGTGCCGGGCCTCCGGTGCCGGGCCTCCGGTGCCGGGCCTCCGGTGCCGGGCCTCCGGTGCCGGGCCTCCGGTGCCGGGCCTCCGGTGCCGGGCCTCCGGTGCCGGGCCTCCGGCGCCGGGCCTCCGGCGCCGGGCCTCCGGCGCCGGGCCTCCGGCGCCGGGCCTCCGCCTCCGGCGCCGGGCCTCCGGCGCCGGGCCTCCGGCGCCGGGCCTCCGGCGCCGGGCCTCCGGCGCCGGGCCTCCGGCGCCGGGCCTCCGGCGCCGGGCCTCCGCCTCCGGCGCCGGGCCTCCGGCGCCGGGCCTCCGGCGCCGGGCCTCCGGCGTCGGGCCTCCGGCGCCGGGCCTCCGGCGCCGGGCCTCCGGCGCCGGGCCTCCGGCGCCGGGCCTCCGGCGCCGGGCCTCCTCCCCATCGACTCGGCTTTAATAAATACTTGGTGCAGGGTAAAGTTCAGCACAGGAGACCAACGTGGCCGGGCGTAGTGCTTGCGACACTCCCTCCCTCGTGTGCCATGTTGGCCTTCGTTGGTGCTATTCGCTACCAGTCTCTCGCCCCGCTAGAACTTGGAGGATATGCGAAAATATCTTGAGGAACTTACAGGTATTTTTAAGTTTTCTTTTGTGTATGGACGTATTGGCGGTACACCGGTCATCATTAAAACAGTCCGATGATGTCACTGCTGCTGTTGAGCGAGCTGCAGACTGTCCCATCAGAAGTTGCCTTCGATTCAGCAGCCGCTGTCCCATGTGGTGACACCACGAGTTGTAGTCTTTTGATGCCACCGTCCAGCAAGAAACAATTCTGGAAACGAATCAAGGAACCGTCCGACCAAGTCTAGGGCACGAGGAATCAAATCTGCCTTGGGAACACGGAGCAGCCAAACGTCAACGTGGCTGGGTACTGCTGTACGGCAACAAACTGCGAAGCTTCGTGTTACGGCCACTTATATAAACGTTCATCTTCCGACCACTTTGACGTCACGAGAACTGATTTTGACGCACCACCACCCCGCAAGATTTTCTGACCGGGGTTGCGAATCGCGGGATAAATAATTATTGTGAAAAATTTTGTTTAAAATATAATACCACGCACCACCGTCAATAGGTTCGTGTGGACCGTGACGCTGGCACACAATGGCCTCCTTACGAGTGACGTCACGAGATCCCCTAACGTTCACCATGAAGCACACGGGCGCGTATTGTTTTCGTTTTTTTACAACCGGCAGTATTAAGTAGTGCTGCCAGCACGACCCGAACCGTGAAACTGCTCCGCGAGCTGTGAACGCGCTCCGGTCGTTGCCACGTCCCTGTGTGGCCGAGCCGTGTAGCCGGGACCGTCCTGTCGGTGACTCGACAGGGCGAGACCGAACTATGAGCTGGGGCTGCGTCCTTGTCATCTGCTAGCTGCGTGTGTGGGCACGTGTCCAGATTTGTAGACCTTTATTGACTGACACTGTGCGCACGTTTGGGATGCGTTTTACCCTCTGGACTGTAGAAACGTGATATTACCCTTATTTGTTTTGGGTTAATCTGTCTCACAGGATTCTCAATGTACAGGAAGTGTAAGCAACGAAGATCACCCAGGTGGCTCAACAGTGGAACGAGGAAAGGCTTAATTTCACTCGCTGCAAGGAAAACATGGAAGCATTATAAATGCACCGGTTTTCAATTTTGTGCGAATGCAATTACCTCCTTGCCTCAAATGCGACACGGCACGTGCGGTGTACAAATTCGCGGCTTTTTTTTCCATTTGTTTTTGGAATTCCTGCACTGTGGCTTTTTTAAATGACTTTTAGGGCATCCTGAAAAATTGAAGATTGCCGCCGGCATGCATGTTTTTAGTCACGATAAATGTGTCTTGGAAAGAAAAACAAAACCCCACTTCCTTGCAAATATGTTTCCTCAGAAGCCAAATGTTTTTTTGTGACATTTAATGTAATTTTGTTTTCCTTTTTTGTGTACTCTGCAATTCAGAGGTGGCCGGTTCAATCCCTGCTCCTGGTGGAAACAATGGGGCAAGTTTCTTAAATCCCTGTCCCCTACCCCCCGTCTTCTAAAACGGCAAGCCAGTATGGAAGAGTTAAGCCAAATACCCTCTCGAGTCCATTCTAGTGGAGGCCCCTTCTGCCAGCAATGACAATGGGCAAACAATTGTCACTGTTGCCCCTTTACCGTCACCTCCATTTTCTGTATTCGGCGGTTCAGTTTGGATGATTGTGAGTCGACAAACTCACTGCGTCGAGTGAAAGGATTACATTTCACCTAAGATTAGCACGATTGGATACGTATGGTGTGAAAGAAGTTCTACATACATACACGCACAGAGATCCGCAGACACCCAGACCCACAGAGACTCCCATAAACACTCACAGAAATATACAGAGATACAAAGACCCGCAGACACCTATAGATCATCACAGTTGGCTACATCCGGTGCGAAAGACGTTCAACATACGTACAATAAGGTTGCTGGTTCCGGCGTCTGTCTTTCTCTCTACGGGGGTTCATAATGGTCACGTCAGAGACCCTGTTAACCAACACCACTAGTTTTCAAGTGCCATGGTCTGGGTTTCGGATTCTCGCAAGTTTCTCACTATGGCTGTGATGCAAAACACCAAGATCCTGGATGTGAATTTCTGGGATTGTGGGTTGTAGTCCAGAAGGGTGGGGAATTCAATATTACTAAAAACCAAGGTGGTTAAAATATTTTTTTGTGGATTCCCGGTAACCGAATGGAAAAAAAATTGTGGAATTAAGTGGTGCAAGTTGGTTTTCCGCACGTGCGTAAAAATGTCTAGGCAATAAACACGTCAGTTCAACCGTTTAGGCTGAGAAACAAAGGGGGAGCTAGTTCGCACAGCAAACTTGCCATTTGTATATTTATACAACGGCAAGTCCACCGTTATACAAGAAATCCAATTCAAGAGCTTGTTGGTTCACAGGGTAATTCAAAATAAACTCAACTGAACTGCTTCGATTCTGCCTGCTTGCACGGCAGCTGCAATTAGCTGTCACCGTTACGGTGTCCACCCAGCGTCGTAAATGGGTTTCACGGTAGTCTGTCGTGTGTGGTAAAGAGTAGGTATAAACTCTAAACTATTTTAGTTTTACCAGGTTAGGCCCACTGAGCTATATAGCTCTTTTTCAGAAGCGACCTGACCACAAAATGATAGCTCAACGGAGTGGATTATCACGTGGAAATGTATAGCAGCCAATTACTCTAAATGCGTGATGTTGATTCTAAATGTGGAGGGAAAAAAAACGAAGGACCCGGGAGAAAAATCCACGCGACCATGCGGAGAGAGAGACATGCAAACTCCAAATATACAGGCGTCGGGGTTGGGCTCGAACCCACGAACTTCTGTATACCAGGCGAGGTAGTTAACATCTCGCCACTACTATTAAAAACACGCAAGAAATCAATTGTAAGTGGGCAAGGACATGCCATGGGAACAGCTGATGCAAGACGAAACCAGCTTGCGTGAGAGTGGAGGAGGCAGAGAGAAGGGAAGTGAATTCGAGGGAGACAGCGGGAGTACAGACGGGAGGGGGGGGGGCAGTAGCAGCAGCGGCAGTGGGGGAGGGGGTGGAGGGGAATGGGGGAAGCCTCAAGCAACCAGAGACTCACACAGAGACCCATAGACTCGCAAAGATACCCATCCACTTGTAATGTCAGTCGTCAATCTATGGTGTGAGTGGACTAGTGGCCATGGGAGGTAATGACAGGGGAGTCAGCTTGCAGTACGAGTGGACTAGTGGACGTGGGAATGATGGAGAATCGGAGCGTGGCCAAGTGATGTAAGAGGATGGTAGAGTCTGGTGGTAGAGCGAGCGTCTAGAACCTGTGAGATGGTTCGAGAATGGGGGCGTGGCCTAGGATCGTATAAAAGGGAAATGTGTGGGAGACTTGGCTATTAAAGTGGGGTCTCCGTCTGTTCGAGTGTGAGCACGTTGCTCCTTAAAAAAGAAACCATCTCAAGACAAGTACGTCCAAGTCGTCAAAAGACACTCGCACAGAGTCCCATATACTCACAAGACCCATAGACTCACACCGAAACCCATACTCACATAGAAACCCATAGACTCAGACTCACACAAAGACCCATAGACTCACGCAAAGACCCATAGACTCACACAGACCCATAGACTCAAAGACTCATAGACTCACACATGACCCATAGACTCTCAGACCCATAGACTCAGACCGATGGACTCAAACAAAGACCCATAGACTCAAATAAAGACCCATAGACTCACACAAAGACTCAGACTCACACAGAGACCCATAGACTAACAGAGCCTCAATAGACTAACAGAAACCTATAGACTCAGAGACCCATAGACTCACAAACCCCTAAACTCAGAACCATAGACTTACAAAAAGACCCAGAGACAAACATAGAGACCCACAGATTCTCACCGAGATCTATACTCACACAGAGACCCATAGACTCACACAGAGACCCACAGACTCACACAGAGACCCACAGACTCACACAGAGACCCATAGACTCATGGAGGCAAGGAAGGAATGGAAGAGAATGGGGATGGCTGTGCCCAGCAGCGGGGTGTTACCGGCTGGCAACAACAGCGATAGCAACAACAGCGATAATAAACACACATGCATAGTAACAATTATGTTTAAAATCTATTAAATGTGTTTGGGTTACCCACACGCGGCACATTCCGCCCGTCACCTGAATTGCTGCCTCGCAGCGGCAGCAGCACCAGCACGTGTGCCCGTGGAAAAAAATATTGGTTTTAATGGATTCTTATCTCCACGGCAGAGCCGGGTAGCGGTTTCACCTCTGTAACCACCAGACAGGGCTTACAGGAAAAGTCGAAAAAAAATGAGCCCAGCAGTGGAACAATTTGGTTGAGAATTTATACATTATATACCTCTATATATATGCCTACACACACACACGCACATAGGTGCGTGCGCCTCCCGTTCACGCGTTTTCATCACTCCCGTTGCAGGGGCCTCTGGGCGACGTGGCCGTGGGACCCTTGCTGGACGCTTTGGCAGCGGACAAAGCTGTCCAGGGGGGGAGGCAGCGATGGGTTTGTTGCTATGGGGACAACAGCTGCTGCTCATCTACCTGAACATCCAAGCAGGTACCGTTCCATTCCAACCGAGCGTGAGCAGGGGAGCGCGAGAATCCCGGTTGTTTGCGTTGACCCCCGATGGACATCCTGACTCCCGCCGCGGGAACGTGGAGTTTTCACCGCTGTATCAAGGACCACCGATTTAGATGAGTGCTAGCCCCCCCGTGATGCCGTTCGAGAAACGAGTGCACACCGTTTGTGTGCCTGTCCCATGGTCCAAATATGCCAGTTGAGAAATGGTTCCTGATTACGGAGTACGTTTGGTATTTTGCATCAAAAGGAAGGTGCTGTTGCTGCTCCTGCCTGCCTGCTGTGTTTCATGCACAGTGTGGAGTCATTTCACAGGAGGATGGCAATGTCACTGCATTTAATTCCTCATTGAGTAATATGCGGGTGATTTGTTTTTTAATTGAGGCAATGCGCGGGCATTTGTGACACACGCACACAGCAGCAACACTGTCCTTTTACTCACAGCAGCAACACTGCCTCTTTACTCACAGCAGCAACACTGCCCTTTTACTCACAGCAGCAACACTGCCTCTTTACTCACAGCAGCAACACTGCCCTTTTACTCACAGCATCAACACTGCCCTTTTACTCACAGCAGCAACACTGCCCCTTTACTCACAGCAGCAACACTGCCCTTTTACTCACAGCAGCAACACTGCCCTTTTACTCACAGCAGCAACACTGTCCTTTTACTGCAGAACCTTGGCAGGAACTTCCATTGGACTCGGTGAGGCTTTTCTGAGCAAACTAATGGAATCATAATCATAATAATGAATAACAGTGTCATGGCAACGTCACAACCCCGTTGACGCGTATCGCCGTGTGTTCCCCTCTGCTTCCACCGGCTGTTCTCCGTGCCCTAGGAGCGAACGCCCTGGGTCCTCTGACTCTGAGCACCAGGGGGGCCGTGCGGAAGGTGGGAGAGGGCCTAAGCGTGATCTGCACAGTCGCCAACGAAGATCGCAGGGTCAGCCTGGAGTGGACGCTGAATAAGGTGACAACGCCTCGGTACCGGTACTAGGGCAGCGACGTGGCTTTACCGAAAGACCCAAAGAATAAGTAAACAAAATGTTAAGGATTTTTTTAAATTCATTATAAATTACCTGCGGTCTACCATGGACCAAGCCCATTTAACACATCTGACTATTGCATCAATTGAGCAGCATAAACTTGCACGATCCATCACCGTTGAGGAAATCCTAGACCGATGGGGCCAGCAAGAAGACAAGTGACGCACAACAACTTAGTTGTGAGTGTTGTGCCTTGAAATGGTTTTATTTATGAACACTGTCACTGTGAGACTGTCTTCCTCTAAACTCAATACACGGTACAACTAAATACTATATTTAGTTAACGCCTACAAATTATTCTATACAAGCTTCAAAACATCCATAGCTATTTCAGTAAAAGAGAGTCGGGAGAAAGGAGGGGGCCCACAGTCGGATCTTGTAATAGATCCCCCTTTGAAATAGGGAGTTGCGCCTCTAGCCAGCAGGCCATCCAGGCGAATGCTGCGGCGTGTACTAACCATAAAACACGTGACGTCCGGTACACACCGCATCTAAAGATCCCATGAACGTCATTCGGCAAACTGTTAAGGCGAGCTAGAGCGGGTTCGGCAGGGCCAGCCAAGGAATGGAACGCGTCCGAGAAGGCATCGACTGAGGAGATTAATAATAATAGTAATGATAAACTCGGTTTTCTACAATAGCGCAATCTGCAGAAGGCCTCAAACCACTGCACGTAACAGCTTGCTAGGTTATGGAGAAAGCCTGTGGTAAAAAAAGAAAACGGGTGCGTTTTAGGATGCGATTTCAAAAGCGTAAACAGCACTCAGATTCCCCTATAATGGACCGATGCAGGAAGGGAAACTCCACAGTCGTGGAGCCTGGCTGCAAAATCCTCTTTCTCCCACCGAACAACAAAGTCTGGTCTTTGTGCAATCATTATAGGTAGTGGAGCAGAATCAGCAGATTTAAGTTTTCACAGTGAAGTATAAAACTTAAGCTGATTAGGCGGTGACATATTTAGGAGCCAACTAAATACAATAGTCCCTCGGCTAACGGTTACATCGGTTAACGGTTTTTCGGTTAACGTTCCGCCTCTCATTCGGCTTAACGTAAAAATGTTGATTCCCTATATGTTTACGTTATGCACGCGGGCGCCAATGTAGGCCAATCTGAGCGCTCGCTAAGTGGGCTGAGCCATGCCCTCAACCAATCAGCGATGCCCATTTATGAGCGTTTAGACCTCGACTAGCTTTGTTTACATTACGTTTTCTGTTTTGGCAGTGGAAACCGCTCCCTTGCAGACTTAGTGATTTGTACTCATTTTTTCAACTTATAAGTGTATTTGATTAACAGTTATTTCGGTTTACAGTAGTTTTCGTGGAACGGATTAAAAACGTTCTCTCGGGGACTACTGTACTCTTCAAGTAATTGCTGCACTTTACAGAGAGTCAGTGCACGGAGGAAAGGAAGAGGAGCGATGCAGTCACACGATTTAGACATGGAGTAAAATCCCGGGCGACCGAGTTGGGAGCAATGAAATCGAATTGTGTGAAAGTGCTGGATGGATCATTGCCTCGCAAGATCCTGTGAGGTGGCGGTGGCCTGGGGAGACCTTTGTCCAACAGTGGATTGACCGCAGCTGATGATGACTACTTTCTGTACAGAATCATAAATCTTTATTTAAACTGGCTTAGGAATTCGATGAGCTATGAAGCTCTTTGATCACAGGTGACAAGTAGGAGTGGGTGAGCGAGTTACGATAGGAAAAAAAACGATAGAAGTCTAAAATAGAGAAATGGTGAGTCAGGGTAAATAAAAAAGGTATATAAGGGCTAATTGCTTAAGTACATTAACTCCTCCTGATTCTTCAACATGCAGTAAATGCAAGCTTGCGCAAGGCAGCATCTGGCAATGTGACGCTGCGATCAATAATTTCAGTAAGCAGGGCGTCACGCTTGAGGTTAGCCAAGTACCCGTCGTGGTCTGCGAGGGGTATTTGGACCTACACACGTGGTTTAAAACACGTAGCAGGCTTTCGTGACCAATATCGTCCATAATAGATGTTTTTTGCGTTAGATCGCATAAATATAAATGTGTCATTAAACCCACCACCACATGACACAGCCAAATAGTAAGGTTGTGTCATGTAAACAAAACGTGCCAATTCGTTACTAGTTCAGCACACCGATGTTGTGTAGAATATAAACCCACAACATTTACAATTCGAGCACTCTGACGTTTCGCCGGTAATTACAACTGGCCTCATCAGGCGACAGGCGGAATTGTGGAGGCTTGTCTACGACCGTGGGGAGAGTAACGCATCCAATTGTGTACAGCTCTAAGTCAGCCACTGCTGGACGAGGAAGTCCTGACGCTACGCACGTCGTGTAAATTTGTTCGACCATACTTCACCACACTGGTAATTCTGCTTACATATTGTGTATGCAATTGTATTGTAATTGCATTTGTATTGGGCATTTGTTTATTGAGGAGAGCATCACTGACTCCCGTGACTATCATGACCTTGTGAAGTATATGTTTAGGTCAATACCGGTCACATTGTGTGGTGTTTCTTTTAGCAATAGGAGGACAAAAGAGGGCGGCAGAATGTAGAAACTCCACACGGCAAGGCACCCCGAGTTTGGAATCGAACCCAGGCGCTTGTTGGTGTGTAGACACGAGCGTCACCGCTGCACCACCACCTTGCCGCCCTGCATTTACGTTGCAGGGAATGGCCGATAATGTCCTTTCTTTCTCTCTCTCTCTGTGTCTCTCAGCTCCCTCTGAATGAAACCAGGGAGTACTCGCATCGCTCCGCTGGCCAGTTCCTCCTCGAGCAGACGCTCGTCCTGGGTCCCCTGCGGGTGGAGGACTCGGGAGAGTACTCGTGCCAGGCGGTGTCCATGACGGCCTCCCTGAACGAGTCATTTTGGCTTCGCGTGGTCGGTGAGATTTTTTTTGCCAACGCTGGCCGCGCCATACTCGAGGGTGACGACGTACCCGGCGGCGGATGAGGTTTCGTGAAGGGGGTCAAGAGGCGGTGGGAGGGAATTTTGGTGGGAAGCGACGTGGCCCTGCAGTGGCACCTTTTCCCGCTTGTTCCAGAGTTTAATAGTTCGAATCAGGCAGTCACCCTCGGTGAACATTGCCGTGCGTATTCACCATCAAATATGTTTACGTCTGCTTTACAGCTGGCGTTAACGATCCCCCTCACGTGATTTAAACTAACTCTAACAAACACTGTTTATTTTACCAGGTAGGGCCCAACTGAGCTATATAGCCCTGTATAGCTCAAATTCATAGCAGCCAAATACTCTAAACACGTGACATTGATTCTAAATGTAGAGGGAAAACCGAAGGACTCAGAGAAAACTCAACACGACCACGGGTAGAGAGAACACGCAAACCCCAAATATGCAGGCGTCAGGATTGAACCCACGACCTCCTGCGTACCAGGCGAGGGAGTTAACATCTCCTAGCCACCACAGCGCCCTTTGAAATGTGTAGGGCGTTGTGTGCCGGCGTCAGGGTCTAAATTTGTCACTCGATTAGGGATTTACAAATTCGAGAGGTGGGGCCTTCTCCTGCAGTTTATCGTAGATTCATATTTTTATTACTGTAGTTATTAGTCATGGATAATATATAAACGTGCAGTATTTATATTTCGATTTAAAGCTTTCGTGACTGCAAGGATTAATCTTCTTTGGTTTTTTCGGTAAAGTCACGTAGAATGAGAATAAAATAATAAAATAACACAATAAAATTCTCACGACGTTTCGGCCACAACGCAAGCGTCTGTCTTCAGGTGAAAGGTACAGAACTGTCGGGACGAGAGAGCTTCAATGAACGATGTTAAGATTCGTAGCGACTTTTAAGCTGGTTGGGAGAAGTGAGGCGCCTTGACAAAGGGGTTTACATATCAAATAGCTGAGGGATTAGCTTGTGACTGGTCACAGGAATGGCTATGTTAAAGTCAAAACCTACACATCCACAGAGGCAACTAGTAATTTAGCATTGAAATAGCTAAGGGATTAGCTTGTGCAAATAGCTGAGGGATTAGCTTGTGACTGGTCACGGAAATGGCTACGTTAAAGTCAAAGCCTACACATCCACAGAGGCAACTAGTAATTTAGGATTGAAATAGCCAAGGGATTAGCTTGTGACTGGTCACAGAAGTAGATGTTAAAGTAAAGGCCTACACATCCACAGAGCTTCAATGAACGCTGTTAAGATTCGTAGCGACTTTTAAGCTGGTTGGGAGAAGTGAGGCACCTTGACAAAGGGGTTTACATATCAAATAGCTGAGGGATTAGCTTGTGACTGGTCACAGAAATGGCTATGTTAAAGTCAAAACCTACACATCCACAGAGGCAACTAGTAATTTAGCATTGAAATAGCTAAGGGATTAGCTTGTGACATCTATTTCCGTGACCAGTCACAAGCTAATCCCTCAGTTATTTGCACACGCTAATCCATTAGCTATTTCAATGCTAAATTACTCGTAGCCTCTGTGGATGTGTAGGTTTTGACTTGAACATCGCCATTCCTGTGACCAGTCACAAGCTAATCCCTCAGCTATTTGATATGTAAACCCCTTTGTCAAGGCGCCTCACTTCTCCCAACCAGCTTAAAAGTCGCTACGAATCTTAACATCGTTCATTGAAGCTCTGTCGTCCTGACAGTTCTGTACCTTTCACCTGAAGACGGCCGCTTGCATTGTGGCCGAAACGTCATGAGAATGTTATTGTGTTATTTTATTATTTTATTCTCATTCTACGTGACTTTACCGAAAGAACCAAAGAAGAGTATTTATATTGTTTAATTGTAGTATGTAGTGTATAATATCCTGTATATGATATTTCACACTGAAATCGAGCATGGCTACTTTTTTTGTCACGCACACAGTGCCGATCGCTGGACTGGTTACAGCCAGATAATATTGAAAGCCGGATAATCTCACACCAGATAATTGATCGTCAACTGTATTATCCATGATAAACGCTGCCCTGATGTCGATGTGACCATCCATCTCGACCTCCTCTCTCTCTTTGGGCGCGCGTGCGCTCAGAGAAAGGTTACGTGGTGCTCAGCGTGGATGGACCCTGGGAGCTGCAGCTGAGCAAAGGGGAGACGCTCCAGATGAAGGTCGCCATCGACTCCTACCCTCGCGAGACCCAACGCCAGTGGCTGCGCAATGGCACGGTGATGTTAGACCACGGCTCCGGGGATTTGTGCAACAATGAAACCAGGTATTGCGCCATCCCACAAACGTGTCGGGGCACGTGTGTGTCAGAGGGTTTTTGTGTTTACGCATTTGCTGAGCACAGGGTCCCAAAGACCCAAAATGTCAAGTGCATGCATGTTGAACGTCGTTCCCACTGTACGTAGCCGACTGTGCTAATCTGGAGGATGACCGGCGACGAAGCAGCTCCGTCAAAAGTTGTAATAGTCAAGAGGATAACACGTTTCCTGGGTTGGGCAAAGCTTGTTGTTGTTATTCATAGAGCTTGGGAAAGAGATATAAACTATATATTTGTTTTACCAGGTAAGGCACCACTGAGCCATAAAGCACTTTTTTCAGAAGTAACCTGGCCACAAATGATAGCTCAACAAAGTGGCTTATCATCATCATGTGGACATTTATAGCAGCCAAATACTGTAAACGCACATGGATTCTAAATATGAAGGGAAAAACACGGAAGACCCGGAAAACGCCAAATATACAGCAGGCGTCAAGATCGAACCCATGACCTCCTGTAATCCAGGCGAGGTAGTTAACATATATTAGCCACCAAGGGCGTGGAGTGAGGGTCGTGTCCACGCAGCGTGCCGACTGACATCGCACGCCTTGACTACCACCGGCCCCACCCACTGGTTCTGCTGGGCCCTGAGCCCGATTCGGAAGTCTTGGGTAGTCTGCGCATAAGGGCTCGGCTCTGGCTTGGCACAGCAAGAAGGCGAGTGGGAAAATCACCCGTACCATAATGGCCCCATTCTAACTCGGCTCGGATGTGCCCATGAAAATGTGCTGTGAGTGGCTAACGATTTTATTGGTTCATTCACGTGTAATTAATTGGCTGATGTATGTGTAGCTGCAGTTGTGATGATTGTTTAATAATTCACTGATTCATCTTCTTTGGTTCTTTTGGTAAAGTCACGTAGAATGAGAATAAAATAATAATAAAATAAAACAATAAAATTCTCACGACGTTTCGGCCACAACACAAGTGGCCTTCTTCAGGTGAAAGGAACAAACCTGTCGGGACGACAGAGCGACGACAGAGCTAATTGTAGCTCTGTCGTCCCGACAGGTTTGTTCCTTTCACCTGAAGAAGGCCACTTATGTTGTGGCCAAAACGTCGTGAGAATTTTATTGTTTTATTTTATTATTATTATTATTTATTCTCATTCTACGTGACTTTACCAAAAGAACCAAAGAAGATGAATCCTTGCAGTCACGAAAGCTTTAAATCGAAATTCACTGATTCTATAATTGATTGATATGTTTAGCTACCATGCGATGGTCGTGTAATTAATTGATTCATGTGTGTAGCTGCACGGCTGATGGTTACAAATTAATTGACTAATTAATGCGTGGAGCGACAGGTGTGATGGTCATGCAATGAATTAACTGACTGTCTAATTGGCCAATGTGTTGTAGCGACACGTGTGATGGGAGAGTCATTCACCGAGTGTCACCGGAGGATGGAGGTATCTACACGTTCGTCGCTAGGAACGAAGACAACGAGACGTCTGTGGACTTCTTTGTTCACGTTAATGGCAAGGAACAACACACCCTCTGCTATGGCTCCCACCACGGTTACCGTTCCTCATGAACGTCGCTCGTTCATTCCTCCACCCACGTTGAGGGCTCTTGCCATCCAAAATTTTCAACGACCACCACACTGCAGGTCACAACAAACACAGACCCCCCGTATAGCCTGTAACAAATTGTTGGGGCAAGTGCTGTTAGCGAGCACCTACGAAGGCCGGAATGGCACACGAGGGGGTGGGTGGCCAGCACCACACCAGTACTCATTTGAGGCTGAGTCGACCTAGGGGTAACCCATAAGTAATTTAAATAATCGTCAATGGTGTTGGCCGTGAGCGGGAATCGAACTCGGGAAATTGGGTTAGTAGCACAGCGCGCTAACCGCTACACGACAACACACTCATTCACTCGACACACTGCAGGTCACAACACTCCTTGCACACTACACCACATTGGAATTCCCCGGAGGGCTGTGCCTGCTGATGGTGAAATCATATTCGAGGCATTCAATCAAAATATTGAAGTTTAAAGTGTCGAAGGTAGCAGGCATAGAACTGCTGTCGAGAGAGGAGAGGATGTCTTAACAAGTGCAGCCTCGGTCGAGCGAGCAGCGCAGTAGACAGACTGCAGGCGACAGAAATTGGAAGATAAAGTGAACCAACCTTTGACAAGGGCGAAGTGCTACAAAGAGTTTGGAGATGGTTGATGAGTTCGTGATGGGGCGGTCGTGGTAGTTTGCAGGGTCCTGGAGGTCAGAGTCACGTTAATTTTGCGAAGGAGTCACTTAGCCCAATACAAGCGAGGAATAGGCGGGGTTGATCATGACCCTCTGAAAAAGATGCCCTGATGGTGAAGAGATGCTGGTAAATGTCAAAAAAATGTATACATGGGTATTTATGTAAATATAAATCTATGGGTCTCCATGTAAATCTATGGGTCTCCATGTAAATCTATGAGTCTCCATGTGAATCTGCGGTCCTCTATGTAAATTTATGGAACTCTATGTACATCTTTGAGTCTCCATGTGAATCTGCTGTTCTCTATGAAAATCTATGGGGTTTCTAATTTTAATCTTTGGGTCTCTTAAACGTCCTTTCCTCCCCTTTCCCAGGGAGCGGCTTGGAGCGACCAGTTGTGATCCAGAGCGTCGTCAAACTGTCCGGCAAGGAGAACAATTTTTTCGAGGTGACGCTCACCCTATCGGTGTTCTTCGTCTTCCTTAGCTCCCTTTTCATCGTCTTCCTCTACAAACACAAGCAGGTGATATACCGGAGATTGGATACCGACAGTAAAACACAACCAGCTGTGATACCGGAGATTGGTTACCGACAGTAAAACACAACCAGCTGTGATACCAGAGATTGGATACCGACAGTAAAACACAACCAGCTGTGATACCGGAGATTGGTTACTGAGAGTAAAACACAACCAGCTGTTACACCGGAGATTGGTTACCGACAGTAAAACACAACCAGCTGTGATACCGGAGATTGGATACCGACAGTAAAACACTACCAGCTGTGATACCGGAGATTCGTTACCGACAGTAAAACACAACCAGCTGTGATACCGGAGATTGGTAACCGACAGTAAAACACAACCAGCTGTGATACCGGAGATTGGATACCGACAGTAAAACACAACCAGCTGTGATACCGGAGACTGGCTACCGACAGTAAAACACAACCAGCTGTGATACCGGAGATTGGTTACCGACAGTAAAACACAACCAGCTGTGATACCGGAGATTGGTTACCGACAGTAAAACACAACCAGCTGTGATATCGGAGATTGGTTACCGACAGTAAAACACAACCAGCTGTGATACCGGAGATTGGATACCGACAGTAAAACACAACCAGCTGTGATACCGGAAATTGGATACCGACAGTAAAACACAACCAGCTGTGATACCGGAGATTGGTTACCGACAGTAAAACACAACCAGCTGTGATACCGGAGATTGGTTACCGACAGTAAAACACAACCAGCTGTGATACCGGAGATTGGTTACCGACAGTAAAACACAACCAGCTGTGATACCGGAGATTGGTTACCGACAGTAAAACACAACCAGCTGTGATACCGGAGATTGGTTACCGACAGTAAAACACAACCAGCTGTGATACCGGAGATTGGTTACCGACAGTAAAACACAACCAGCTGTGCGTTAGTAGAGATCGCTACTGAAAGCAGAACACAAGCTCCAATTGACATCGTGATAATCATCGCGTCGTAAAATGCAAGCAGGTTAATGACATCACCCATGCCTGCAATCCAGCACTGGAAGCAGTGAGGGTTGGTGTACCACACAGATGTCTCCAAGCTCCACCCTTCCCATGGGTGTTGTCGAGGTGCCCGTACCCTGGCACTCCAGAAGAAGGCAGCACAGCAAGTGCGACTAATCTCCATCTATTCCATCTGCATGGGATAGTCTCGCCCCCTCGCACCCGTGAACATTTTCGAGGTCCTCCTACACGTATGATCACTCATCAGTTAAAATACCGAAGGTCAAGTATAATAATGGGAAAGCAGCCAAGGGATGGCACTGAATGCATCTTCCGAGGAGACGGGGCTATGAAATTAGTTTGTGTGTAGGCGCCGACGGCAGCAACGATAATGATGATGGTGATAATCGTATTGTGAATTGACATTGCAGAAGCCTCACTACGAGATTCGGTGGAAAATCATCAGCAGTGTGAATGCTGAAACCAACGAGTACATCTACATCGACCCGTCCACCTTGCCCTACGAGCCCGTGCGCTGGGAGCTCGACCCCAGCCTTCTCACTCTTGGTAAGCTGATCGCCATCGGTGCAAGCGGACTAGAGAACCGGCTTACAAGTACTCATAGACTTATATAGAGACCCGTAAGCTTACATAGAGGCCCATAGACTTACACAGAGACCTGTAAGCTTTCATAGAGATGTATAGGCTTACACAGAGACACATATACTTACATAGAGACCCATAGGCTTATACAGCCTTATACAGATTCAGACTTGCATATAGAGCCATGTAGGCTTGCAGACTTAAAGACATAGGCTGACACAGACTTGTACAGATCCATAAATATATACTCACATACATATGCATCATTAGACCATGTATGTATATATAGATCCAAAGACATATATAGTGTATTTTTATATTAGTGAGTCGCAGACGTAGACTTTGCAGGCAACGTATTTTATCTCGTTCCAACACACGGGGTAACTTCCCCTTAACAGAATAACAACCTAAGGTGGTGACCACCCGGCTAACTACACTAGTTACTACACTAGTTACTACACCAGTTACTACACTGGTTACCACGTAACTGTTACTACGGACCCGGGACCAACAGCATCTGCCTGGGTCAACGTGCTGGAAGACTCGTTGAACGGAGATCTGAGACGAAGGGTTTCTTTCCCGGGATGAACAACGCTGGTCCCTCTCGGGACCCGGCTTATAGTTTCTGTGGCGTGGCCGGCTCCGCCCTTGGCCACGTCCAGCGTCCAGAACCCTCGGGAAGGATCTGGGTCCCAATCACGTGACCCCCCTAGCCCCCTCTTTCAACTTAACCGGTCACGTCTCCTCCCGGGTCAACCAGAGTGCCATGGCCTCACACAAACCGATCCTTCGGTCGGCACCCACACACCCTGTCCCGTAGGGCCGGCACTGCACTTACAGCCTGGTGCCATCCAGCGCTATTATCCAGCGCACACCGTGCCCCTCTAGGGCCGGTACTACACCCACAGCATGGTGACATCCAGCGATGTCACTACATTAGTAAAAGTTCATGTGTATATATGTGTCGTGTTAAGTTGTGGGGAAAACGGTAGTGTAGCGGTTAGCGCGCTGCGCTACGAACGTGGCGACCCGAGTTCGATTTCCGCTCACGGACAACACCAGTGACGATTATCTGAACCGGTCATGGGCCTCCCCTAGGTCGACTTAGCTTCAAATAGGTACCTGTTGTGGCATGTAAATAACACCACTGCGAAGACAAAGGCGGTTAGGCGTGGTGCTGGCCACCCACATTATCGTGTGCCGTGCCGGCTTTCATAAGTGATACTCACTTACAGCACTTACCCCATTAGTCTGTTAAGGCTGCATGGGGGATCTTTGTCTTTAGTATGAAGTGTGTGCGTGTGTGTATAAACGTGAAGCGTAGTGGTGAGCACACTGCGCTACGAATCCGGTGACCAGTTGATTCCCGCTCACAGATAATAACGGTGGTGAATAACTGAATCTGTCTTGGGCCTCCTATAGGGTGACTCAGCCTTTACACGAGTACCTGGGTGCAGTGTGTAAACATAAGCACGAGTGAGACAAAGGCAGTCGGGGCGTGGGTTCCTAGGCACACTGCTCACCCCGGTTGTGTGCCATGCAGAGGTGCGACTCGATCCCAGCACTTGCCCCAGCGTGTTGTGTACGGCTACACAGGCCGTGTTTATGTCTGTGCCTTGTGCAGGGAAGACGATCGGCTGTGGCGAGTTTGGTAAGGTGGTGGAGGCCAAGGCCCACGGGATCCCGCACCAGGGCTCCGTGACCCGCGTGGCCGTCAAGATGCTCAAGCGTGGGTTCCCTTTGGCCACCACTTGCATCTTCACGTAATTTACATGGCGCCTTCGCCAAGGTGCTTTACAAACAATTAACAACGGTACTACAACAACAACGCGTTCGTGGATGTAATGGTGGAGATGCGGTGGATGAAACAGATGAGAGGGAAGCAATGGTGGCGAATCTGTTACGCGTGAATTCGGTGAAAAGAAGTTGATGACAGGAGATGATGATAAATGGATTGAATGAATGAGGTTAATGAGTGATAGCCACCAACTAATCCTCCTAAATTACCACTTACCCATTATCTTAAAACTACCACTAACCCATCATCCTATAACTACCACTAACCCATCCTCCTATCGCTAGCACGAACACACCCCTAGCATCCATAATATAATATAATCCATAATATAATCCATAATATAAGCCTACGTGTTAAAAAGGACAATATCAAAGGGCTCGCATAATGCACATGGCATAATTTACGTTGACTCATTAATCCCTCCCTCCCCCCACTTTGCTGTGATACCGGAGATTGGTAAGAGCGCAGAAGTGTGGTTACCACATCTACGCCTCTATATAAGGAGCAAAACAGTAAGACTTCTCCATAAATCTGGCTGTTGTAATTACTGGCGAAACGTCGTACTCAGATTGCAAATGTTGTGGCTTGGCTCTCCAACACAGCGGCGTGCTATACTAGTATACTACACTATATACTACTACACAATACACTACTATACACTACACTATACACTACTATACACTACTACACAATACACTATACACTACACTATACTACTACACTACTATACACTACACTATACACTACTATACACTACACTACTATACACAATACACTACACTATACACTACACTATACACATTGTCACGTTCTGTTTACGTGACAATCCTTACTAGTTGGCTGTGTCGGGTGGTGGCGGGTTTTAACGACACATTTATATATTTACGTGATCTAACCCCAAACAAAAAAACCTCGATGGGTGTTAAACACCCCTGTGCCTGCGAATAACCGGATGGCTGAGACTCAGGTGGTGAGGCTCACTGGGCTAAGCATCTCTTTAATATCGGGACAACTCGGCTGCAATGAGGGGGCGGAGATAGATAAGTCACGGACAAGTCCAGCCAAGATTTTGTAAACCATTAATTTAATCTTAAACCTGATTCTAAAACAGATTGGGGTGGGGGGGGAGCCAATGGAGGAAAATAGAATGGGGATGAAATGTATGTGGGTGCGCCAGCGTTTTCGGACCACCCACATCCGTTGAATAAGAGAATCCGAGGGACCCTTTATAATAGAGAATTGCAGCAATCCAGCCCGGAGGGGAGTCTATTCATCAGCCTGTACGCAAAGTCCTCGTTTCAAGCGTGGTCGATGCGTTCCTGAAAAGTGCCAAGTTAAGCAAAAAAACCGCGTTCGGCGAAAAACGAATTCCCCGTAAGTAACGATACGGTTTGTCGAGGTACGACGTACTGTGCGCACAAGGTGAGATGGCGGGACAATTAACTCGGAATAGGCCGCCGCATTACTGCATCACTGCACCGCTCATCCACGCAGCTCAAGAAAGCAGTTCGTCGTTGACCCCTCAGAAACCTCGTTTTCACGGTGCGCACATTCCGCGTGATATAACGGTGTGCATTCCGGGTTGTTAGGCAAGTGTTCCCCTTCTGAAAGAAGCGCGTTATTGCAACAAAAAACGTGTTGCAGTGTGGGAACGCGTTAAGCGAGGACTTACCCTTTGTCCGGTCATCTCCGCCCGTTTAACCGTCCGCTTGTCCGACGTGTGTCTGTGTCTGTCCGCTTGTCCCCGTGTCTGCGTGTCGTCTTGCCCGTGCAGCCAGGGCACACCATGCGCACAAGGAGGCGCTGATGTCGGAGCTGAAGATCATGAGTCACCTGGGACGCCACCTCAACATAGTCAACCTGCTGGGAGCGTGCACACGTGAAGGTGGTGACGGGGGATACGGTGTGCCGGGAGTGGATGTATTTTCCAGATTGTTGGTAGCCTGGCATAAGAACCTGACTAGTAGCCACAGCCAGAGTGGGATGTATACCTGATGTGATGAATCGGATGCAAACAAATTTCCGGGTCGCCTAGCCAGAGAGACCTGGATTAATTTAAGCGCAGCGACGATTATGATATGATGGTGATAAAACTGATTGTTGTGCTCACAATGATGTTGGTAGTGATGATGGTTGTGGTCATGAAGATGACTAATGGTGATGATGATGGTGATCATAATACTCATGATCATCACTACTATCCTCACCTCCACTGTGGTGATGATGACGACAACGACTATGCTGATTTTAAAATTCTCATTACAGATCCCATTCTGGTTATCACGGAGTACTGCAATTACGGAGATCTGCTGAATTATTTACGGAGAAAGTGGCATATTCTGAACAGTGGAAACAACGATGACGCCACCAATTATCAAAACCTGACCATCGCCAGAAGGTTTGCATCTAGCCTGTATGTACGTGTGTGTATGTTAAACTTCTTTCACACTGTACGTAGCCAACCGTGCTAATCGGAGGTGCAGGGAAATAACTCAACACAAAAAGCAGTGTTAAAGAAATTAATTTTCAATCGAGATAATTTAAAAGTGCACAGCTCCAGTGGATTCCTATCAGAAGGAACAGCGTTCCAGACGGCTGCAGAAACGGACGGTGTGGTGACCGTCTTTGTTCGATGGCCAGCCAGAAGCCACTGCTGCTACAAAAAATACCGGAGTCCGCATGATAGCCTAGCACCAACTGTGACAATACACATCTTCGCATGTGTATGGAGCTTGCTTAAATGCCTCAGCAACTTCTTAAAGGACCTTGCTATAGATCTCGTCTCAAATATTGAGAAAGGGCATCCCCAGTGGCAACTGTCCCCGTGCGACACATCGACTCAGCACCTGCCTGTTAGGCTAACAGCAGGAGGAGATGGTTGCTATTTGCACTGTAAAAGTGTAATACCAATTGAGTATTTTATGAATTTGCAGTGTAATGTTTAGAATTTGGTACATTTGCAGCATGAGACTGGTACGTAATGGCCTCTAGATTTGAAGCTTTCGTGACTGCAAGGATCCATACTCTTTGGTTCTATTCGGTAAAGTCATGTAAAAGTATAAAACAAAAAATTAACGACGTTTCGGCCACAACACAAGTGGCCTTCATCAGGTGAAGGGACCAGACCATCTCGAGGACAGCGCTGGAGTGAACACAGCCAAGCTCAGACCGCGACCTTTAAGCTTGTGTGAGAAGAATTTAGGTGCCTTGACAAAGGAATTTGTATAAAAATTAGCATTTAATTGGTGGACTTAGCATGATGAACGGTGTAGAGGGGGTGAACATGTGCAGACCGGCGAGGGGGGGAGGGGGAGTTACTAAAAGATCTCCAAAATTCTAAACAAACACAATATCCTGGTCCGGTTCAATACAGTACACAAAATCCGTGACCTGATCCCTTCCGTGAAGGATATCATTCTTGACTTACAGTACCCCGGAGTTTACAAATTGATCTGCACCTGTGGTGACTGCTATATCGGGGAGACGAAACGACATGTCTCTGACCGAATTCGCGAGCACAAATAAGATTTGAAACACGGCAGAACGAATTCTTCTGCCGTAGCTGATCACTGTTACAACGCTGTGGGTGATCACGATATAATTTTCTCCGATACCAAGGTTCTTTGCAAACCCACGGGTTTTTATCAGAGATTTGTTCACGAGGCAATTCAGATTTACAAACACAGACACAATTTCAACCGAGAAGATGGTTTCAAATTAAGCAACCATTGGAAAGATGTTCTAAATCGAACCAAAAATTAAACAAATTTTCAATGGTACTGTATATTTTTTCAAGTAGTGGTATCCCAAACTTTCGCAGCTGCTTAAATTCCCTTTTCACACCATCAATATGTAAACTCCCCCTCCCCCCCTCGCCGGTCTGCACATGTTCAACCCCTCTACACCGTTCATCATGCTAAGTCTGCCAATTAAATGCTAATTCTTATGCTAATTCCTTTGTCAAGGCACCTTAATTCCTCTCACACAGCTTAAAAGTCGCGGTCTGAGCTTGGCTGTGTTCACTCCAGCGCTGTCCTCGAGACAGTCTGGTCCCTTCACCTGATGAAGGCCACTTGTGTTGTGGCCAAAACGTCGTGAATTTTTTATTTTATTTTTTGTTGTTTTATATTTTTACGTGACTTTACCGAATATAACCAAATTGTACGTAATGGCCTACCCTTTTCAAATGATAACAGGGTATCATTAACATCCATTGTGAAGCAGATAGCATGCAACATCTATTAAGGTTATCCCTCGCATGATCACATCCCTAACCCATGTCTATTATGGTTATCCCTCGCATGATCCCATACCTAACCCTAACCCAATATCTAGTAGGGTTATCTCTAACAGCATGATCCCATCCCTAACCGATTGTCTAGTAGGGTTATCCCTAACAGCATGATCCCATCCCTTACCCATGTCTATTATGGTTATCCCTCGCATGATCCCATACCTAACCATAACCCAATGTCTAGTAGGGTTATCCCTAGCAGCAGGATCCCATCCCTAACCATAACCCAATGTCTATTAGGGTTATCCCTCGCATGACCCATACCTAACCCTAACCCAATGTCTATTAGGGTTATCTCTAGCAGCATGATCCCATCCCTAACCCTAACCCAATGTCTAGTAGGCTTATCCCTAGCAACATGATCCCATACCTAACCCTAACCCATGTCTATTAGGGTTATCCCTAGCATGATCCCATACCTATCCCTAACCCAATGTCTAGTAGGGTTATCCCTAGCAGCATGATCCCATCCCTAACCATAACCCAATGTCTAGTAGGGTTATCCCTAGCAGCATGATCCCATCCCTAACCCTAACCCAATGTCTATTAGGGTTATCTCTAGCAACATTATCCCATACCTAACCCTAACCCAATGTCTATTAGGGTTATCTCTAGCAGCATGATCCCATCCCTAACCCAATGCCTATTGGGGTTATCCCTCGCATGATCCCATACCTAACCCTAACCCAATGTCTAGTAGGGTTATCTCTAGCAGCATGATCCCATCCCTAACCCTAACCCAATGTCTATTAGGGTTATCTCTAGCAGCATGATCCCATCCCTAACCCTAACCCAATGTCTAGTAGGGTTATCCCTAGCAGCATGATCCCATACCTAACCCTAACCCAATGTCTGTTCACCGCAAATTTCTGGAACAAGTTGGCGGATCGTCCTCATTGCTTGGGTCAATTCACCCGTGCCCGGTGATGTGAGATGAGACGCGACAGGAGAAGAAAACTATTCCCTTTTGTGGATTTCATTGAAAAAGTCGAACATTTTCATGATAAGGAATTTACAAAATGAAGGTGAATGACTGCTGCCCACAGCGATGTAATGGCTCACACACCAGGCTTGCAAATCCGGAGGTCGCCAGTTCGATTCCATGTCCGGGCGTGGAAGTGGTATAAATAGGTGCAATCACAGTGGTTCGGTGGGTTGCACGTGGTGGGGTAAAGTGTGGGTAACTGCCACATCTTTGTGGCACTTTGAGATCCTTGATGAAAAGCGCTATATAAATGTAATTATTATTTTCTTCCGAAACTTCTGCTGGCCTGTGTAGAATAATAAACGCGATTTGGCACAGGTGGGAAGCGTGGGTAGCTCGCATGCTCAGCCACCGCATGCCCAAGCAGCTTGTTTTGCTGGATAGATAGGGCTAAACGCACGTGGCACGGCCTGGAGAAGAAATGGACTGATGCGGGACAGGAGGATGTGGAGCTGAGTGGAATTGCCGAAGACTGGTACCACTGGTGTCAAGATTGGCCTCTATGGAGGAGGCTCGTGAAGGATGCTAATGGGCAGTTGGAGGCAGTCGCCCTCCATCAACAAAGGAGGGCAGCGGAGCGATGCTCACAACAATGGGCGAAGCGCAGGAAGGATAAAATGCAGCAAGTTAGCATAGTAGGGGGCAAAGGTGGTGCATCTGCCAGTCAACCCATGGCACCCCAGGGTTCTGTCCCGTGACCTTCCGTCAGCGGCGAGCCTTCCACACACTTTACACTATGGCTACAGAGTGCACCTAGCTTGGCACAAACGCTGCAGATGACGTCGCCACCACTTGATGTTGACGAGTGATGTACCGTTGTGGTTTGTAGAATGGAATCGACCCAGGTTGCGGTTGGAATTGAAGAATACAGTCTCAAGGCGGCGCTTATGAATCAAGCGGAGCGAGGATTTATTCATGGGCACAAAGGTATCGGCGGTACTTGTGCATGCACACACTCCCTCCCCGCACCTCCGTGGAGCACGGTTGGCTATGTACAGTGCGGAACAAGTTCAACATACAGTACATACATCTTGTGTAATGCACAAGTCACCTTGAATAGCTCCACCTACACATAAGGGCTATCAATCTTTCGGCCCATTGGGCCTTCCAGACTGATGTTTGACCCGGCAACTTTTATTCACGAATGGCAAACTCTGGGTTGGTGTCACCCCTTCTGTGGAATCATAATCTGAATCAGGTGTACTCAACACATACTGTTGGGTTTTACCAGATGTTATTGTTAGGTCCCCTCTCACCGCACCGTGGGCCATCACAGTCACACAGTAATTTGGAACACTACACCAAATGTGGGCAGGTAGTGGCCTAAATAAAATGACAGTTGATCATCGATTATCCGGCGCACAATTATCCGGCTGCTGCTTCCAAATTAATCCGACGGTCCCGGGCGGATCCAGAAAAGCCAGAAAAAACACTCCAAAGGCTGTGACCAGTCTGGTGATCGGCACCGTGTGTGACAAACAAAGTAGCTACGCTTGATTTCAGTGTTAAATATTATATACGGTACATTATACACTACATACAACTTAAAAAAATTCAATACTGCACGTATATACATCACCCCATTCAGAGTCTTCGAGATTGGAGTGGTAAGTACGGTACAGTAAATAGTTACATTTGACAGGATATTTATTTATGTGTATTTGTATGTTTATTTATACCAATTTCATATAGTAAACTAATTTAAAACAAAAAAACATTAACATTTAAAAACATGCTATGCAAGAATGAGCAAAAGTGAGCTATTTAAAATTATGTAGTGATTGTTTAAAAATTCGGCGTCCCCTTCCCCCCCAAATAATTGATGATCTACTATACTCTATAGTTAGGGCATTTCTGAGTCGTCCGGGCTTCCTTGTGCGCCGCAGGCTGGGACGCGTCGTCAGAAGAGGAGAGAGAAGCAATCGCGAGCGATGACTCCACTCCGTTCGGGGTGGACAACCTCCTGAGCTTCTCGGAGCAGGTCGCGAGCGGTATGGCCTTCCTCGCTCACAAGAACATAAGTCGTGAGAGGAGTGACTCAGCATTCAGTCTTTCTCCTGGGTTAAACGAGTGGTGGAACAATGATAATACGTGATGATTTTAACCTGTCTCTGTGTCTCTCTGTATGTGAGACACAGAGACAGGTTGTCTGTCTGCCTCTATCTTTACAGGGCCTCCGGAAATTCACCTGTTTCGATTTTACCATGTGTGACTGCGCGTGTTTAACTGTGTCTCTGTATGTGACCGTGTCTGTGGTGCACGTCCTTGTTGGCCTTTATATGTCTGTCTGGGTGGCGAGTGGTCGCTCAGTGGTTAGCTCACTGCGCTACGAACCCAATGGCCGGAGTTTGATTCCCGCTCATGGCCAACGCCAGTGATAATTATCTGAACCGGTCTTGGGCCTCCCCTAGGTGGACTCAGTCTCAAATGAGTACGTGGTGCAGTGCGTAAACATCACTACTGGGGAGACAAAGGCGGTCAGGCGTGGTGCTGGCCACTCACCCCCTCGTTACCATGTCGGCCTTTATAGGTGATCGCTAATAGCACTTTCCGCAACGGTATGTTAAGGCTATACGGGGGAGGGGATCTGTCTTTTTGGTGGCAAATATCTGAACTGGCCCCGGGCACACCCTAGATCGACTCGGCCTTAAATTAGTACCTGGTGCGGTGTGTAAACATCTACACTGGGGAGACAAAGGCGGCCGGGCGTGTTGCTGGGCACCTACCCCGTAGTGTATCGTGGCCGACCTTCACAGAACTTGCCCCAAGTTTGTTGAAGGCCACACAAGGAATTTTTGTCTTTTTTCAGTGCATCCATCGCGACCTGGCTGCGAGGAATGTGCTCGTAACGCACGGACGCGTCGCCAAGATTTGCGACTTTGGGCTAGCACGGGACGTCCAGACTGACCCCAACTACGTAGTGAAGGGCAACGTGAGTCCTTCACCCTACTTAGCATCATCAGCATCATCAGCAGCATCGCCAATGTCATCACCTTCATCGGTATAGGAAGGCCCATCACTTTAATTGCACTCAATGTTTTTTTTCATTTTGCACAGCCCCTAAGAAAAAAAAGAGTGGGGGGTGCTGCCACACACGGTGGTGCAATGGCTCCCCACCCTGGGCCGGCAATCCTGAGGTCGGCAATGGGATTAAATCTCCCTGCTCTGTCGACAGTTTAAAATATGGGGCAATTTCACAAATCTCCCCCCCCCCCCCCGATGTGGTACATTTAACCCTTCAGGGTAGTGGAGGGCTACATGACGCTAATTTGGCCAGATCAATACGTGGCCTGACGCAAAATGCCGTATAACGAATCGCGAAACATCGCCCTGAAGTGAATTTACTGAACGTTATTGTTGTTGTGCTTGTGGCCATGCGGTCATGTCCGTCAGGTGCCTCTGCCTGTGAAGTGGATGTCTCCAGAAAGCATGTTTCATGGGCTCTACACGGTGCAGAGTGACGTGTGGTCATATGGCGTGCTACTGTGGGAAATCTTCTCTTTTGGTGAGACAAACTTTCACTTTTCACAAACATTCGGGACCCTGAGTACAGAACATGCTCACAGCAGACGATTTTAATCTCATCAGATCTCAGAAGCTAAGCTTGCAGCACCCAGCCCTGATGGTAATCCAGGGATACAAATTAATGTGGAGGAACAAATGTTCGCTTGTGACGACCAAGACTACGCCTGTCCTCCCAAGGACAGGCCTCACTGAGTCCTGACACTTTTATTTTCAGGAGGGTCTTGCCGAGTTTTTTGCAGAAGGGAGGCGATGTTGTTGCTGTGCAGTGCCGGAGAGTAAGCTCATGTGGCCGGTCCACCCTATCCTCTCTCCTCCTGTTGGGACGGGTCGGTCGCAATAGCGATCAGAAACACCCTCCATGTCACAACACCGCAGTTCAATTTTTCAATCCGGAGGTCAGCTCAAATCTAAATTGTGGGCGCTCCCTTGTACTCTGTGTATGTGGGGCTCTGGGTCTAATCCCCTGATCACCATTGCATTCACTTAAATAATAACAAATGCTCCTGGCTACCCATAGAAAATAAGAGTGCACAATTATACGTGATTCATCACAGGCGAGCTCACACCGGCTACACTTACAGCTTAGGGCCTCGCATTATGAGGCGGGGGGGGGGGGGGCTCTAAATACGAAACAAGAAATAGGTACGAGGTTTCGAGTTTTAAGATTATTGTTTGAAAAATGAAGATTTGTGGGGAAAAAAAGACTCCCCAAAGCAGTTATTTCATTCTGATGACAAAAATATACAGGCATTCATAGATGGGACCTCTTAAGCTTGACAATTGCATAGGGCCCCAGCAATGCCATCATCCGGCTCTGCTGCCGAGTGTCATCCCAATTAAGTAATTTAGCATTGGGATGTTTGGCCAATACCCAGTAACATTGTGATTGTGTGTTTTTTAACTATGTGAGCAAACTGGATAACCCATACAGAACAAAGGGGAGAACGTAGACAACTCCGCAAAGAAAAGTGCCAGTCAGATAATGAACCAAGGCCCTTCTTGTTGCGAGGGTCAAAGATCACCGCTGCACCACCCTGCCACCTGAAGCGATAACAGTTTGCTTATAATTATGATTTTTTTATTTGAGTGTGCACATTTACAGGCGATGATCACATCTCATCTCAAGCATTTGAAAAGGGCACTCTCATTGGCAACTGTTCTGTGTGGCACACGGTTATTCAGCACCTGACCTGCATGCGGGCATGATTAGTCTGCTGCTGGTAGCGGACAATGTTTGCTACGAGCTATCCCAATTTAGTGATTTACAGTGAAGTTATTTTTACTTGCCAATTTTGGCCTGTGATGCTGACACACGATTGCCATACTTAATTTTAAATGTCTTTGGATCGTTTTTATTTTTTTGTTTAATTTTATCGCGTAAAGCACGAGCCCGTTGCAGTGCACCACGGGACTCGTCTGATCTGACTACACGTCATTCGAGTGGTGCATTCACAATGCAACCGGACCATTTATTATGGGGGGCTGACGTGAAGGTGGGAGGGCGTTGTGATAGGCGTAGAGTTGAGAGGAGGGGAGGTGTCTTGGGATCTGTAACTTCCACACTGAAGCAGACGGAAATTACCTTTCGCGGTTAATGCACACACGCCACAGTGATAAACCAGGGTGGTGGTTCATTACTGGATTCTAACCACAAATCTCTGCGGCAAGGGGTGATTACGCTGCCGGTGGGCTGTGCACAAATCCACATTGTTGTTGTAATTGTATTGCTTGTCAGAATCTGAATCTTTATTTGGACTGGAGACATATTATGAGCTATGGAAGGGGTTCTTTTTTAACAGATATCCAGCAGGGGCAGGTCAGAAACTTTTACAACAACAAATACAAAAAAAGGATTAGGAGTGCAAAATAGAGAAAAGGTAAACAAGTCACTAAAAATAAATAGATAAAAATAAAGTATATAAGCACAAATTGTATAGGTACCATGCATTTCTGCGGATTTATCAACACTAAATGCAAGCTTGGACAAGGCAGCAAAACAACAATAACAGTCCCAGACCACACCAAGACAACACATGGTCCCTCAATAAAAATGCACATTTAAAATTGAACCATCGGTAACTGCACGGATAAGGGTCAACGTTATAAATCACACGAGCGATTGTAGTTGTAATCTGCACCACGTTTGTCTTGATAAAGGAGACCTGGGAATGCCGCTGGGGGTGTGACGTGCGTGCTCCTCGGTGTGTGGGTGTAGGAGAGGCCCCTTACCCTGGCATGGCAGTCGATGACAAGTTCTACCGCTTGATCTGCGATGGCTACTGCATGCAGCCACCCCCCCGCTGTCCACCGCAAGTGTAAGCCGCCCCCCCATACCCCCCACACCAGGTTTTATCCACTGCTGGACTGATGCGTTTCCATTGTTGATGCAGGTGGCTGACGGAGGAGAGTGTGCAGTGTTTGTTGCGTGAGATTCTGTGGTTTTAATTGTAGCGATTCAATTAATTGATTGAACAATTGCTTAAGGGTGAATTATGTGATGTGTTATTTGCAATGATTGTGCTGGCTGGTTCAGTGTCGATGACACGGCGATTATGAACCCTCTTAGTCTGGAATATCCAGCCGTACGTACTGTTGCGACCCACAGACTGCTTCTCCTCTCTACGAGATAAACATGACCAGTGTTTCTGCGCTACGTATGGAGATGCGGTGGCATTTAGATGCCGCTGTGTGAATCCATACTGTAGGTATTTTTTATGCCTTCATGACCCTCTCCCTACTCACCCCCCACTCACCCCCCTCGCCACCTGACCCCCTTCACCCCCCCCTGTGACGTCATTAACATCATCGGCGCTCATTCAACCATTCTGAGAACGAACGCGCACCGGAAGAGGTGAAAGCGCAGTCCGAGCTTGGGCGCGATTCGCCTTCCTCGCACCCTCACCGCACCCTCCCCTCGCCCCACAGCCGCGAGGTGATGCACCGCTGCTGGAGCCACGCGCCGTTAGAGCGCCCCACGTTTGAGGCGATCCTCGCAGAGCTGAGACCGGCCTCCAACGATGACAAGATCGACAAAGGCGAAGAGGTCGGCTGGGAGCCGTCGTCCGTTCCGTCCGAGCACAGCTCCCTCGCTTGCTAGGATCGCCCTCGCTACCCTGTCCACTCTAGGGGTGAATAGTTTATTTTATTATTTCAAAGATTACCGTGCTACATTTGTTTATTCAAGAAAGTCTCAATCTTTTGCAGGAGGGTCCTGTCCAGCTTTCACAGAAGGGGGCGATGTTGCCACGGTGTTCAATCCCTGTTTAAGTAATTTGCAAGTAATATCTTACAGTTATAATGGGTTGTTATTTTAAAGCTGCGAACCCTGAGAAAACGCGTGCACAACAGGGGAAGAACATGCAAAGTCCACAAACTCTCACTTACACGCAAGACTAAGATCCCCCCATGTAACAGACTGTTGGAGTAAGTGCAGTTTATGAGCACTTATGAAGGCCAGCACAGCATACGGGGTTTGTCTCTTCCAGTGCTGATGTTTTCACAATGCACCAAGTACTCATTTTGGCGTTGGCCGTGAGCAGGAATCAAACCGGGATCGCTGGGTTCATAGTGCAGCACGCTAACCGCTGCACTAATGCTCCCCATAAACATCGGCAACATAAACAACAGCTCGTACAAATACAAGAACTCCCCCCCCCCCCATAAGGTACATTGTGTTGTTTCGCATTTACGTTGCGATCAATTAGGGAACTGTTTACTTAGAAATATGTTTTGCGAATATGCATTTTTAAAACGATTGATCAAATGTTTCAACTAGGAGCGCACGTGGTAAAAATTTACTATTTTGTGTTGTAATACCATACTATACGCGCATAGCGCATACCACCGAAAAATTATCCACACGCATTCAGCGTGTCTGCCTGCCAGCCCGCCATTTGGTGCATTCGTTGTGCACGTGTTTTGTAGAATTGTAGCGTTAGGTGATAGTTCAAAAAAGTATAAATGGCTACGAGAGATGAGTGAAAATTGCCCAGTAAATGTTGATGTTGCGTTTTAAAGCAGGTGAACGCAAGATAGCATAGTCTAACCATGAATACACCTTTAACATTTTATTTTGTAAGGTATTACAAACGTAATAAATTGCCGGAATGCTTGCCACAACCAGGACCTTAGTGATCACGATGAGAATTAATGTGGGCAAACTATCTGGTAAGTTTGATCTAATTAATTGTATTTATTATTAGTTAAAACGTACGTTAACTTACAATCATATGCATTTTTGTACACTTCATAACATTTAGTCTGTTTTTTTTTCTTCCATAAATGTCGGCTCGGAACGCAACCCCCAATTTTAAAATGATGTATATCGGAAATTTGAGTTCGCCCTAAGTAATTTAAATTTAAGTAGCGTTTCCCATGAACGCGTTCTTCTTGTATAGTGGGGGGTTTCTGTACACTCACACAAAAGTAGAGTAATCCCTTGCCAACCGTGAGGGTTAGGTTTCTGAAAGCCCACGCAGTTGGTAAATGCACGTTTGGTACAGTATGGGAAGTAGGGGTTAGGGGAACCACAGCTGCGGTCAGACTCATCACAGCTTAACTAAGTTTCCTGTTCATTAACTGAACACCAAATAAAATACAGTACATCACGCAACATAGTAAAACATGAAGAAACATTACATTAACTTTACATGCCTTTAATATTAACGATGATGATAATGAGTTCATGGGGGAAGGATTGGTTAGAAGAATGAGGGGCTCAGCCCACCCTCCCCCACCTCTTCCGGGCCACAGACGCAACTCTCTCTCACCATCACCACACACTGCGCGCTTCGGCTCCATGATTAAGGGCAAAATGAATTTGTACTGTACAGTATGTACAACACAGACGGGCAGCTGATCAGATCAGCAGCGCCACGGCCATGTGAAATGTGTAATGACGTCACGCAATAGAATAACGCCATGCCTTAATGCAATGATATAATAACTATCATGTGATTTCCTTAACACCGTGCTTACCCGTGGATACAGACCCAGAGGTGCCTCGCGGCTCGTGAGATTCTGCGACACGACCTGGCGGATGCAACGCGGCGGCGCCAATTTTGATTTCACGACTCGGCGCGACTCGCGAATACTCAAAGGGAGATGCTCGTGGTTCATAAACAGAAGTCAATCCACGTATACTAACATCTCGTGGTTGGTAAATTCGCGGTTGGCAATGGATTACCGTACAGGTATGCCTCTATTTACGAAAGGGATGCGTTCTTCGAAAAACACACGCAAAACGAAATATCGTAAATCGGAATGGTCTTTCCCATTCATTGAATACGAAAAATTTGCGATGTGTTTCAGACAGTCACTCCAACTATACTCTTAAACTAAAAATATACACCAATATCATTTCACAATGCGAAAAATTATGAAGTACAAATATTACAGCGATTGAATAATAATCAATTTAAAACAAAAATAATTAACCTCTTCAAAGAACTCACCAAAAGATCTGCATGTTGGAATTACTGGAGAGGTGATGAGGCGTCACTTTTGCACTGTAGGGAGACTGTGACACTGTCGTGGATGAATGACAGCTTCTTGCTTGATGATCTCGTGGCGCGTGCCATGTGATATATTGTTTCCGCTGAAATTATATTTAGTAAGCTGACAAGTATACTTAATTTGTCAATTTCGTTTACACTAAATTTCGTAAATCAAAACACAAAGATTTCCTGTACAACCAATATAGACTGTTGGGCCAAGTGCTGTCATCAAGCACCTAATACAGAAAAGACAAAAAAACACGCATTCATGCACAACCACATACACATGACCATTGTAAGCACACGCTTTCAACAGAAATTACAAATGTTATATATTGTGCTTTAATGATTAAATTTTATATTAGTGTGTCTTCTCAATGTTACACAGTAAATATAATCTTCAAGGACCACTCTTACAGTCCCATCATCACCACCATCTTTATAATCACCATCATCACCAAATGTATCATCCCAACCATCTGTATAATCAATCACCATCTGTATCATCACCACCACAGACAAAGACTCCCCGTATAGCCCGAATAGACTGTTGGGGCAAGTGCTGTTAGCGAGCACCTATGAAGGCCAGCATGGCACACGAGGGGGTGGGTGGCCAACACCACGCCCGGCCGCCTTTGTCTCCCCAGTAGTGATGTTTACACACCACACCAGGTACTAATTTGAGGCTGAGTCGACCTAGGGGAGGCCCATGACCGGTTCAGATAGTCGTTTCCTTGCGTTAAGCATGAGCAAGAATTTAACTCGGGTCGCTGGGTTCGTAGCGCAGCGTACTAAACGCTACACTACCGCTACCCACCACCTGTATCACCATCACCATCATCTTCCAGAGTTAATACATTTCAAGTCAATATCTGGAAATGCTTGTATTTGTAATAAAAAAAATGTATAAGTAGTTGTCACTCACACTCACCCACACTCAAACGGTCATAAAGGACTGAAAGATGAAATATCTTCAGAACCCTACATCCTGAAACTAAACTAATTATTTTTTTATTTTACCAGGTAAGGCCCACTGAGCATAATCGCACGATCGGGAGTCGTGATTCCACTTCTGGGAGTCTCAATTCCAACGCCATGGAATTGTATATGTTTACACGTGCGTCCAGGTGTGTTTGTGTGCACGTATGTGTGCATGCATGCCTTCATATGCGCGTACGTGTGTGCATGTGCGTGTGTATGCACGTGTGTGTGTAAAATAATTTTAGATATGACATTTGGGATCTATTAGGTTTCGGGTGAAGAGCTTTGCACACGCAAACAGGTGGGTGTGTTAACTCACCAGTGTGTAGCTCACCTCACCAGTGAGCTGGTGTGTACACTATCTAATCTGTAAATTCACTACTGTGTGTGCACACTAGTGTGTAAGCTCACTGATGTGTAAACTTGCTGGTGTTCTTTGGTGTGTGGCCTCACTAATGTGCAGCATATTTTTGTGGAAGCTCACTAGTGTGCAAGCACACGAGTGTGCCGGTGAGTGTGTGTGAGCGCGGTGTGTGCGAGTGTGCGGTGAGTGTGCCAATGGGTGAGTGTGAGTTTGCGGTGAGTGCGCGGTGAGTGTGTGTGAATGTGCAGTCAGTGTGCCGGTGAGTGCGTGGTGAGTGTGCGGTGTGTGAGTGTGCTGGTAAGTGAGTGTGCGGTGAATGTGGTGTGTGTGAGCGTGCCGGTGAGTGTGTGGTGTGTGTGTGGCTTGACGTGTATCCGTATCAGTATTACTCAGCCACCCCCTTACTTGCCCACGCGTAGATCCGTGCTGCCCACCAGACAGCTACATGCGATTCAAATGTCCATGTACACATCACGACATCACCTTGCAATGCGCATGTGTGATATACATGTGCGATATACATGTGCCACGTGTTGCACACACTATGCATGTCACGTGCACAAAGGGCATGCCTTACAAGTGATGAACACGCGATGCAGGTGCTTGCGTCGTATGTCACATACATGTGACACGTAGCTAAACGGGGCCTCTGGACGGGTGCGAGGGGCTGGTAACCCCTCCACCTTCAATTAATTACCACTAAACCACGAGTTAAACTGAAATATGTAACAAATAAGCTTGTGCCGGAGGCCCCGGGGGGGACAGGCGTCTATGACGTCTCCTGGCCAAACCCCAATTGGCGGAGCCAGGAGATTGAATCTCTACCCTCGGGGCTCCTCCAGATACAACGAAAAGCCACTACGGATGGCCACGTGGAATGTTCGAACACTCACTGCGGAGGAGAGGCTGCCACTCCTCTGTCGGGAGCTGGACCGGTACCGCCTGGATCTCTGTGGCATTCAGGAGGTCCGGTGGATCGGATCTGGCTCCTGCCACCATGAGGGGTGGACAGTCCTCTACTCGGGGCAGCAGACTGCCAAACAACAGGGTGTGGCTCTTCTTATGAACAAAAGAATGAAGGGGGCATGGGAGCATGGCGGTGAGGTGTGGGAAGCTGTAAGTCCCAGGCTACTTTGGGCTCGCCTTCCCATCAACCGGAGGCGAGGAGTGGTGGTCATGGTTACTTATGCCCCCACCGAAGACGAACATCCGTGGAGGGATGCAGGCAAAGCCGATGAGTCAGATGCCTTCTATGACCTCTTGTCACAGGTGCTGGCTAAAGTGGCACCTCGGGATAGAGTTATCATGTTGGGTGACTTCAATGCCCGAGTTGGTCATGATGCTGGCAGCTGGTCTGGAGTGATTGGTGGGCATGGGCCAGATCAGCTCAATAACAACGGTAGGAGGCTGCTAGATTTTTGTGCAGCCCATGGGCTTGTAATTACCAACACGCTGTTCCGGCATTGGTGCATCCACACAACATCATGGATGCATGCCGGGTCCAAGCAAGAACATCTGCTGGACTACATTTCTGACAGACCAGCGGATGCGAGCCCATGTCCTTGACACCAGGACCTGCCGTGGAGCTGATCTGCCCTCTGACCATCGACTAGTCATCTGTAAGATGCGCCTGCCATTC